AGGGGAGCCGGCGGGGCTAGCAGGGGCTGCGGGTCGGAGTGAGGGGCACCGGCTGGGCTAGCAGGGGCTGCGGGTCGGGAGTGAGGGGCACCGGCTGGGCTAGCAGGGGCTGCGGGTCGGGAGTGAGGGGCACCGGCGGGTACCTGGAGGTGCCGTTCTGTCTCTGCACCTCGGGGCCCAGGCTGGGCGGCTCCGCCCCGGCGTGCTCCAGGGCCGAGTGCGAGTGCCGGTGCTTGTTGTCCTGCACCTCCAGGATGTCCAGGTGGCTGACGTGCCCGTGGCCCAGCGCCTCGTGCTCCATCTCCACCACCTGCACCTGGCCCAGGCCCAGGCTCTGCAGCAGGCGGGTGAGGCCGTGGAAGGACAAGGTGCCGTTCTCCCCGTACAGCCCGAAGAGCTGCTGTAGGTAGTAACCCTGCTCCTGCTCCGCGTCCTCCAGCGGGGCCGGTGCCCAGGCGGGGGGGCGGGGGGCGGGGGGCCCTCTCCCGGCAGCAGGAGGGCAGCGACCCAGAGTCCGGCCAGCAGCAGCCGCGGCTTCCTCCGGTCCATCGGGGGGGGAGCCTGGCGCCGAGCGGGACAGGGAGGGACTGTCAGCTGGGGTCGCACCTGGCCAGGTGCGCTGCCTGGGGCGCCCCCTAGTGGGAGATCTGTTGGCACGGGGGGGGGGGCAGAGCTGAGGGGGGTGAATGGGCCTCTCCCCTGTGCCCTGTTCTACCGCACGGCTCTGGGCAGCACCCGGCCGGTGGCCCCCCCCCCGGGCCCCAGTTTGTACAGCCCAGGCCTCAGGCGGGACCTAAATACGCCAGGCTCTGGCAGAACCTCTGGAGGGAGCTGGCGGCTACCAGCTCGGACTCCTGGGTCCCATTCCCGGCTGCCCCGTGGTGTCAGAGGAACAGGTTTTCTCCAGTGGTGCGAAGGGGGGAGGGGGTCTCCCCTGTCCTGGGGGGCTGGGCATTGCGTTCTAATGGGGAACAGGGACCAAATCAAGCCAAAGAAACAGTAAAACAGGTGCCCCCCCCCCCGGCCTGTTAAATATACAGCCAAATAACGCCCGGCTCCAGCCACCGCCGCTCGGAACTGCTTCGTCCTGGGGGGCTGGGAGGGAGAGAGACGGTGGAAGCCGGACAGTCAACACTCTACTCTGCCGACGCCTGGTCTGCCTGAGGCAGTGGGTCCAGTGAGCCCAGGCCCAGGACCCAGGGGAGCGGGGCTCTGGCCTGCTGGGTGACAGCAGGCAGGTCCTGCCCTCGTTCCATGCCTCAGTTTCCCCTCCCGCACTTTGCCTAGTGAGCGACTCGCTCTCCCCTGTGCCCAGGCTGGGGTTGGAGAAATAAGGCCTGGGGTTAGAAGTGTCCCACCGGGGGACGCTGTCGTGCAGAAGTGGTTGTACCCGTGTAAAGGGGCCTTGCACAAGTACCGTGTGTTACACCCCCCAATGAGAGACCAGCAGCTGGCCCGGGAGAGTTAAAACTCCCTCGTGTGGACAAGGCCTGAATCTTTTCAACCCCACCCAGCGAAGGCAGCTGAGAGTGAGCCCAGGATTCCAGGTGGGGAAACTGAGGCAGAGAGCAGCTCCCTCCAAGATGAGGATCCCAGTGCGCAGGGAACGGGGGAATCAGCCCTGGAAACAGCCTCAGTCAAAACCCACCTGTTGCTGCCTGTTCCTCCCCGGCCGTGTCTGTCCCGCGGCGAAGCAGGTGCAGTCGTGGGGCAGCGCAACTGGTTAGCGGCGCCGGCTCGTCCCTCGCCCGGCTCGCAGCAAGGACTGGCCGGCCGGAGGCAACGGGCAGGGAGCTGGGCTGGGATTTGAAGCGGGCGTGAGGAGCGTGCGCTGATTGAGTTAGACACCGGGTCAGAGCGCCTGGATTAAGGGGCCCGGCTCTGCGTGTCCCCTCACACTTGTGTGAACACGTACGTTCAGTCCCTCTGACACACACACACCCCGGCACTGGGACTCACAAGCTGGCCCCGCTGCCGTGTGCAGCTGAGACAGGGAGCTGCCCCTTGCCCCCGGGGCACGAAGGGAACCCAGCGCCAGGCCTGTGGAACTCACCGCTGTATTATGTGTGTCCTGCCTGAGACCCCTTTGCGCTAGGGCTGTACGAACAGACCCAGAAATCCACCCTCGGAGATGTGGACACTGCGATTGTCACCTCATTGTTCCCCAGGGCTCCCCCCGGCCCTGCGTTCTCTCTTTGTTCGAGGTGTACAGTGCCTAGCACGATGGGCCGGGGTCTCTCGCTGCCGCCAGAGCAGGGAGACCCCCCCCCCCAAGATTGGCCAAAGGCCCCGGGCTGAACATTCCCCAGGGGAGAACGAGGCCGGCCAGCGCTGGACACCGCGGCGAGTGCTACAAAATTAACCAGCAATGCCCCTCTGCCATGTACATTGGCCAAACCGGACAGTCTCTACGCAAAAGAATTAATGGACACAAATCTGACATCAGGAATCAAAATACTCAAAAACCAGTGGGAGAACACTTTAACCTGTCTGGTCATTCAGTGACAGACCTGCGGGTGGCTATATTACAACAGAAAAACTTCAAAAACTGACTCCAAGGAGAGACTGCTGAGCTGGAACTGATATGCAAACTAGACACAATCAACTCCGGATTGAATAGAGACTGGGAATGGCTGAGCCATTACAAACATTGAATCTATCTCCCCTTGTAAGTATTCTCACACTTCTTATCAAACTGTCTGTATTGGGCTAGCTTGATTATCACGTCAAAAAAATTTTTTTTTCTCTTAATTAATTGGCCTCTCAGAGTTGGTAAGACAACTCCCACCTGTTT